TAGGTCTTGAAGAGAGGGATGAGATAAGTGTGTGAACTCTGGAGCTGGATAGCTCACTGCTGTCTGTTGGCAGCAGCCATTCACTACAGCCAACACTGAGACAAATGGGAGTTCAGGAACTATTGGGAACAAAGAGTGGAAACCAATTGCTGTGACAGTAGGAGATTTGGTTTATCTGTGGATGAACAGAAAACGGGCTGGGAAGGAGTAGTGAGAAATTATCACCTATTTAATTGAATGTGTTATACCCCCTGCCCCACAGTTAATGTACCTTGTACCTTCCTCACTGTGCTGTCTCCATTCTGCCGATGACATTACACTCCTAACCGAAGCAGGGCATGGACTGTCCTGTCCAGACACTTACTATGTAGCTGTGGCATCTAACACGTCTTGTGTCCCAAATTCTAGTGGGTTCTATGCATCTATAAGTCAAGGGCTGAAAGAGCTACAAAACGCACCCACCTGCGCCACCCACCACAAAGGTAAAAGGAAAGTTTACTGAGATCACCTTTATCAGCTTCTAGCCTTTGATTGCTCCAAGATAAATGGCTTACTGATTCATTGGGAAACAACCCATTTTTTTTCAGACAAGTCACTGCCATGGCAGGAGAGAAAGAAGGATTTATGGTATTTAAAAAAACTTGCTTTAAGAAATAACCTTCACATGGCTGGTGAAATCATTGCCTTTTAAACAGACTATATATTCCTGGTTAGTAGAGTACAGTATTTTCCACATGAATACTTATATTGAATGGATATGCTAAGTAAGATTTTTTAGGGTTTTTTAAAAATGCATTTAACTTATTTATGCAGAACAGAATAGAGGAGTTTACTGCTATACAAACTTGTACATTGGAATTCCTATTTGCACACAATTATGAATAACTGGTCCTGGACTGTATCTTAGTGATTTTATTAATGGGTTGCCTGGAGGCTGCTGCCTCTTCGTTCTTGAGTCCTGGGTTCGATTCTGGAGTGGGGTGCCTTCTGTGTGGAATTTGCATGTTTTCTCTGACTTCCAAATGCCTTCCAACTACATGTACCGGTTCTGGGGGTTCCCGCCCTTGCCACTCCTGCCCTGCCAGTTCGCCCCTCACTGCCTGGGCTCGAACCCGGGTCTCCGGCGTCACGCAACAGGGAACTTGCCAGCTGAGCTAAAGGAGACCTCCCCCAGCTCAGGCGGCTGAGATCCCTGTTATAAGCAGGGGCATATCCGTTACATACTGTACACTACAGTACATGCAGGATTGACTAGTGTCTTTAAAGTGCCCCTGTGTGGTGTGTGTGTGTGTGAGTGTGTGTGTGTGTGCTCTGTGACAGGTGTCCCATCCAGGATGTGGTCTTACCTGTGTCTTGTTTTCTGGGACAGGTTGTAGCTCAAGATAGAACACACATGACCATATTGCAAAATGTTCACTGTCCTGGCTTGGATGTGAAAAAAAGGAACATAGATTTGAATGTTGCTTAAAACACACTGGAAATTAAATATGGTGTGGATAACTCCTACAGAAAGTCAAAGTTCGATTTTATTATTTTACACTGGGGGAGGATGCGTGGTGGCAGACTTTGTTTTCACTCTTTCAGGCTTGTCTTTACCCTTTGACTTACCCAGCAGGTGTACAAGGATTTAACTGGGTACAGGACCCTGCCAGTAAAACCGCACTGATGTCGTAACAGTTCTTTAACAGTTGACAATAAATCACATCCACCACCTCAATGTGATATATCAGAATCGTCTCTTTCGCTATGATTTAACATGAGGAAATAGTCACAAAGTTAACGCTGGGTCATCTTTAATGTATTAATTTTGAATGAAAACTTCTGATTTGGTGCTGAGTAGTGTAATATCACATAAGCACAGTACCTATCCCAAAGCACGTTTACTTATTCTCACTGGCCACACAAGAGCAGAAAGAACAACAGTTTGGGGCTGTTTTCACTGGTGAACCGAACTCCTTTATAGTCTTTTAAATGTGCTGTTTCATAAGCATGGATGTGCTTTCTGTTTACACAGCTTCTCCGATCCTGTGAAATACAGTACACTTGTAGTGACGATTTTCTAAGATGTAGCCTCTTCCGACGCAAATTAACGTCACACTTCTGAAACATGGCGACCACAGAGCAGGTAAATATAACACGGTACATTCTTTTAAAAAATGTAAATCTAGTTCACTCTGCACATAACAAGAATTGCGTTGAACTATCAGCCGAACAAGGCGAATTGAGCAGGACAGCCAGGCTGGTGCACAGAGCGAGAGCGTGATCTTACCTGCCAGGGTTTCTTTTCCACGTCTTCTGCGTGGATGCATGTAACGAGGCTTTAAGACCACGGGTGAACCTCTAGTTTAAAACGAAGGAATACAGAAATGTTTTGACCTCCTACAGTATGCTTGGGAAAGAGACAACGTACTTTTTATACGAGCAAATATTAATTGCGTGATTAAACATTGCGACGCCGGTATAGATCTCACAGATGCCCCCACCACGCATATTCAAATTAATGTTGGAAATGTTTTAGCTTTTAGCCCACAAACACATCAAACGTGTAACGAACACCCACACACTAACACACCCACTGGTAATACCATATCATAGGACAAAGGGTTAAACCGTGCTATTCATATTAGCCTTTCTATGGCCGTAATCCTCAGACTTGTGCAACCATTCACACTGTATAACGGGTTTACTCGCAACATTAACAATGAAAAACACAGAGGGTAGTTTAGACATCAAAGACCAAATATATTTAGAAGGCATTAGATAAATGGGCTGTCTATGATTGATTACTCGGTATTTGATTTTTTTAAGCGAATACTCTGCCTTGGATGGGCAGAATTGAATATGATCCCGACGGCCAAATCGCCCGAAATTGTTTCCAAAGGACCCCTCGGAGATTATTGAAGACGCTTAAGATCAAATGCGAAGTACACTCGCTTTTTACTGGCCCACCCTCGCTTCACAATAAAAGACGCTCAAAAAAAGATTTTCACGCATACAAAACGGCCAGAGTCCCTTTCTATAGAAATCGCGCTGGGATATCGACATTTCTAAATCGGGGGCTGCCTTTTTTCATAAAGAAATGAGTAATTGATGTCATTAATCACTTGTTTGAATTTTGGCTCCGGCTGACAGCGCTGATATACTGGGAGGACGCGAGCCGTCAGCCAATGGGCTTTGATGCATATTTGTGACTGACTGCAGGCGCGTGGCTCCCACCTGCACAAAGAATAAGAGGGTAAATTTAAGCCTGGAGCTGGGTCTCCAAAGAGTTATTTAGCATGTCACGAACAACACTCTTGAGTCTGATCGACACGCTGCAAATAACACATAAACAGCACGCAACAATATAGGAAAATCACACTCTGGTCGGGACTTGAATAACACTAAATGCTCACATGACGTGCTATTCAATGACTGAAGTCCACTTATAATTACACATTTTATTATCTCCAAAACACGGTATGCTTTGGATGTTTTAAGAATCTTTTTAGTGTACCCCCAGAGTGAACACGATCTGGTAAAGTGAACGTTTATGGAATGCGCTGTTGTCCTTGACGATAACAAACAACAACAATAATAATTGCAATAAAAATAATAAAACGCAGAAAGAATCCCTGTGAAAAGTAATGCACTTTTTCCCTACACCTTCTCTGGCACTATAAGAAGCGCCCGACGTTTCTTCTGTGTCTGCTGATGGAGCTCGTCTGGGTGCTTCGGTGAATCCGCAGCGCTTGCTGCGCGGCACGGTTCGGGGTCGGGTTCGGGTTCGGTGGCCCGTCGCCTCGGCCAGCTCACGCTGCAGGTGAAGTGTAGATCGCCGCCTCCTTCTGCCTCGCCGGGCCTGGCGCTGATGTTTATTTACAATAAAAGAGAACCCACAGAATACGCATAATGAGGCGCAAAGGCGCTCACAATGGCTCTCACAAAAGGCTGTTGTGGTCCCCATTCCGAAGGAGAGGGCACTTTGATCAGGTCTGTGTGTGCAACCCCAACAACGCAGTCGGGGACAGCAGCTACCACATCGGTTTTATTTAGATTGATATTATTCCTGTAGCAGGAGCTGTGAGCTTTGCTATTGTCTTAGCATTTCTCCAAAGCCGTATTTCATTTGGCCCTTTTGAAAGAAACCGAATACCCCCTTTTTTCTTTCCTGCCGGGGCAGTAGAGGGGAATAATGGGACTGATCTGTCGCTTGAAAGATGGAAAGCTGATATTAATCTGCCTGGTGCGCAATGAAAACACAACGCATGTAATGGCGCACAGCCCTTTCAGACATGGCCAGGGGCCCGGCACAGCTGCGCATTTGAACCTTTCGACGACACCTTTGTTAATAGACGCGTTAGCAAAAGACCGACTTCCAAAGAACAAGCGACATCCAGGAGAACCGTGTATCAATGTTCGAGGCAGGCTTAGTCCGCACACAGAAACAATCACCGTTGGTGAAACAGTTCTCCTCGAAGAATGTGCCTCCAGTGGCCTGACGCGCTCCTGCTTTGCTGAATTAATTTGCCTGTCGTGCTAACATTATGCTCTGCAAGCGGATGGTCGGAACAGGAGCACAGTCAACGTACCGTGCTCTCCGACAAATTCGGGATACATGACAGCGACGCTTCTCTGTTATTGCGATGTATTTTATCTCAAAGTTGTCGTTTTCTAGAGTGGATGCCAGAGGTATTATGGCAACGGACTTACAAGGGGGCACTGAAACTTCAGGGCGCACGGAGGCGTCTCCCGGCTGCAGTCCAGGAGTTGCAGTACAGAGGTTGTTTTAGAGTAATCTCACATGTCAACACACAGCTCTCGTGTCGTTTCTGACAAACCCCGTGATCCTCGAGTCTGGAACAATATTCAGACTTTCGGGGATCAGACCACATCCTAATATTGGGTACTACACCGTTTGGACCACGTCTGTCAAAAAGTCAACGAAAATGTTGTCTGTTTGGACATAAAGTTTCATGCAATGTTTCGAACCAGTAAAATAAAAGTCGCGACTAAGTAACTTAGTATAAATAGAAAATTCTTTATTTATAAAGCCTATTTTTACATAAAATATGATATCTCTGTTAAAAAATTGCATATGTACATTTTAGTAGGAACAATGGCGACACAAGTGCATACATACATATAAAAATCTTCCTTACATTATAAACCCTTCAATCATTCTTAGGCAGTGTTAACCATTTCACCAGCTCGAGACACACCATATACACACAAACACACAACACCGGGACGTCCAGCAGTTTAAACAGTGTTATAGAGGTCTATCTATGACGACTGGATCTTAATAACCTCCAGATCTCCAGCAACAAAGTGGCACCGTTAGTGTTTCCCGAGAAACTTTGTTTTCGTTTTCGAATTCCTGTACAAAAATAAGTCTTCATATAATTCGGCGCGATATATAGCAAACAGAATAGAAAATGTACAACAATTTCAAATCGCAACTTTCACGACCGGGGAAAGGACACGGGTGGCGCTAACCCCACCCCCCCGTTAGAACCCGTGGGTGCGAGAGCTGTTGAACAAGTGGCAGTACCGGTCCGGTCCGGTCCGAGTCCATGCCGTCCCGGTGCCACACGTCTCTGCAGAAGCCGGGCCAAGTCTTCATGGTCTCCGTTAAATATAATTGCACTTCTTTTAACCAGAACAGTCCGCGGGTCTGTCCGATCTTCTCCCCTTGTTAACAGTGTCCAGGCGAACCGGCAGCGGTCCAGCTCATTCAGGAGGGACCGCGGAGAGGGTTTTGGGTTTTAAATCCTTCCTCCCGTGTCGTGGCAACGCTGACAAGAGGTACTCCGGTTGATTTTTGATCTCGACGACCAGCTTTCCCCAGCTGCCAAGAGAGGAGACAGGAATCATACATGAGCGACCGGCGTCGGCAATGGAAACAAGAAACAGACCCCAGTTAAGAGCGAGAAGGGGGTCGGGGGGCGCTCGGGCACCGCGCTTACCTGATCAGTATCTGTCGAACCAGGTGGTGAAGTCCAGCAGCTCCTGCTCCTCCGAGCTCAGGTGCTCGTAGCTGCCTTCGTCCGACGAGTAGCTGGAGTGCGGCGAGCCCGGGTCGGCCGAGTAGCTGTGCGACAGGCTGGGGGACGGCACCCCGCACTGGAAGGCGGCGCTCACGGCGTCGTGCTCGTCCAGCAGCTGCTGCAGGGCGCGGATGTACTCGACCGCCGAGCGCAGCGTCTCCACCTTGCTCATCTTCTTGTTGGCCGCGCCGTTGGGCACGTGCTGGCGCAGGGTCTGGAAGCCCATGTTGACCTGCTTCACGCGGTTGCGCTCGCGCTCGTTGCGCCGCGCCACGGCGGCCGGCTGCTGCTGGGGCAGGGTGTAGCCCAGCCCGTGGAAGCTCAGCCGCCGCTTGCAGCGCAGCAGCTCGGGCGAGCTGGAGCGCTGTCTCTTCAGCACCCGGCTCTTGCCCGGGGGGTCGGCGCAGCACTCCGGCGCGGCGCGGCTCTCCAGCCCGAAGGAGAACGCACCTTGCGTGACCGGCGCCGCGGCGAGGGTGCTGCTCTCCATCTCTCCCAGTGCGAGCGGGGGGCGACTCCTGGACGGGCTGTGCGCGGAGCGAGGCGGGGGAGAGGAAAAAAAAAAACCCGCACAACTGACTGGGTGTTGCTCTCGTGTCGTTCGCGTGGGGCGTGTGGCTGGAGCGCACGGGGGAACTTGGATCCCAACCTTTAAAAAAAAAGCACCTACTCCACTCGCCGATCTGAGGCAAACTTTGGCAGCACTCCTCTTTTTCAACACGCGTCCGCACCCCACCCCTTGCACGCTCCGCTCGCAGGCCCCGCCCCGCGCGGGGGGCTTTCTTCGGCTCGCCGGCTTCGCGAGCCAGGCGCGTGGCTCCGGGAGCTCAATAAACAATCCGGCGCTTTCACGGGCCGCGGAGCACGCGCTGTGCTCATTTACATGCCAATGTCCCGAGCCGCCAGCCCATTGGCCGATTCAAACGGCCAGCGACCGGGGGGAAAGGAGGAGAGGGGGAAAAAAAGTGAATGGTTTGTTTCTTAGAATGTCTTTTGAGTTTGACAATGTACCCCTGGCAGGGCTTCAAATTATCACAGTGCCTCTGCCTCTCCTTCCCTCTTTCCGTCTTTTTAAACCTAAAATACCAGGGCCGCTCTCTGCGGTTTCCAGGTTACTGATGGAGAGACGGGAACAAACCACAAGCGTGTCTCCCTGTGTGGAATAATGCTCGCTGTAGCCTTCCCTTGGCAACACGATGCATTTTAAGGTAAACATCCATTGGGGGTTAGTATAAATCACGGGTCCTGAATTGTTCTCCACCCCCTCACACACACAGCACATCGTGATCAGGAGATCTATAGAGTCTATAGAGCCAGTCAGGGTCCGGTCTGCGGAGCAACACCGTAAATATGCAGAACAACTGACTGGGTTTCTGTTCTCCTTGCCTGTACACCTGACTTTGTTTTAGGGGCGGAATAAGAATAAGAATTGAGACTAAATTCATTCCGCAGAAGGATAAACTGCCTTTAAACTTCCATTGTAACCCGCCGGAGCAGCCAGAATAACTTCAGTGCCGACGATCACCGCTGTCCCGCAGGCTGGGAGCTTGACAATACAGGGGTTTTAACTAACATCTCAGTCTAGCGTTTTAAACGCAACAACAACAACAACAACAACAACAACAACAACAACAAAACAGTTTCTCCGAGTTGGAAAGAGACGATGGCAACATAACGAAATAACGCACCTTGGGCAATAGTTTTACAAGTGGACGTGGAGAATAGTTCTGAAACAGGTCGCACACACATTTTGCGGTCAGCTACACGCCAATTTGGAGTCATTATAGCGAAACGAGTACACAAAAGACGCCTTTACGGATATCGCTCGCAATGGGCATTGTCTTTATTAGATTACTTCTCCACGCAATGACAGCCTGACCACATTTATCGCTTCAATACGCCAGAGGTGACTGATGACTTTTTAAAGCCATGAGTCCACGTGCAATACCTCCGTTAGCGGAGGCTGTTCGTTTCCGAGACCGTAAACCAATCGATCCTATCTGCTGGATAGGCCCTTATTATTGTTAAAAGAGCAGAAAACCAGTAAGCATCGACCTGGCCATTTCTGTACAGGACGAGGGGGTATTGAGATGTAAATTGGACCTGAACAGTGCCGCAGCTGAGATTTAATTTGCTATTGAGCTGCGGATAAAAACATGCTATTAAAGTTGTACACCACAATGCAGTTTGTATGTGTATACAGTGTGAGTCGTTTACTTCAGCAGAGGTTGCTATAAGATCCTGTTCATGAAGCGCTGCTCGGGGAATCCCTCAATACTGAACTGTTACTGTACTTCGATCCACAAACGACTCTGTCGCTAATTCGCTCTCTAGACGTACTTGTAATATCGCATCTTCATACGGTCCAAAGGTTATCCGAAACCCAGACTCGACATTACAGTGCCGCTATCTCGGTCAGTCAAACTTTATTAACCGTTTATCACGTTCGTTTTAGAAGACACACAATCACCCGAAGACACACACACACTGCAGAACAAATCAAAGTCCGGAGCCGCCTCAAGAAAAAGGAAAGTTTTGTTCAACAGAGATGAACAGTTTCAAGGCCAGTTGTCCTGGGGTTTCACTGCTTCAACCCGTTTTAGATTTTGAGAAAAGTGAATCCATCCCTTTTCTCTTTGTGCTAGACACCAGCGCTTGGATCTTGTTTTCGGTTTGGAAAAGAAAAGGCTTACAGCGACCTCTAACGGTGATGCTTAGAATATTATCACAGTCGCCAATCTTATTCCCTCACAGGAATTGAAAGTATACGATTCATTAATAATAATTGCTTACACTTATATAGCGCTTTTCTGGACACTCCAATCAAAGCGCTTTACAGGTAATGGGGACTCCCCTCCACCACCACCAGTGTGCAGCCCCACCTGGATGATGCGACGGCAGCCATAGTGCGCCAGAACGCTCCCCACACACCAGCTCAGTGGGGAGGAGAGCAGAGTGATGAAGCCAATTTACAGACTGGGATTATTAGGAGGCCATGATTGGTAAGGACCAATGGGTAATTTGGCCAGGACGCCGGGGTGACACCCCTCCTCTTTTCGAGAAACACCCTGGGATTTTTATGACCACAGAGAGTCAGGACCTCGGTTTTACTTCACATCCGCAGGACGGCGCCTGCTTTACAGTATAGTGTCCCTGTCACTATACTGGGGCGTTAGGACCCACATGGACTGCAGGGTGAGGCCCCCTGCTGGCCCCACTAACACCTCTTCCAGCAGCAAACCTTAGCTTTTTTTTCCCCATAAGGTCTCCCATCCAAGTACTGACCAGACTCACACCTGCTGAGCTTCAGTGCGTTGCTGCAGAGTGATATGGCTGATGGCTAATTTTATATGGGTTTATTTTGCATGTACTATGTAATATGCATCTTCTATTGTGCAAAATTATGTTTTATTACAAGACAAAAAGAACTTCAAGTCACAATTTAGACAGACATTCCACTCTTTGAATATCCCAAAGGTTTTGGACATGTTTGTGGTGGTATGTGATCAGTACTGCGGATATGTGCTCTAACACCTATCATTTCCATCACACGTCGTGCGAACTGGGTCCCTTCCTGTATAAGAGCATCCTAGGCCTGGATCATAGGGCTGAGTGTGGGGCTGTATGGGGGCACAGTTGCTGCTTTGCACTGTAGGAACCCCGGGTTCAATTCTGCACCTGGGGTTCTAGTTGTGTGGAGTTTGCGTTTTCTCCCCGTTTGTGTGGGTTTCCTCTGGTCCTGTCGTTTTCCTCCCACAGCCCAAAGATATGCTGGTAGGTTAATCGGTTTTGGGAGAACTGGTCCTGGTGTGGGTGCCTGTGTCTGCGCTGCGATGGACTGATGCACCGAAACACCAGAAATGCACATAGACTCTCACTTCATACTTCATGTGAGAATTCACCCTATCTCACCCAGGCCTTGGACCCCTGGAGACTTATATTTTTCATTTGGAGTTTGTTGCTCTAATATAAGAAATAAAATTGCTAACGCTATTGGACATAAGCTGGTGCTTTTGAAACGATTAGCTGATCCGCTGTAAGCAATATGCAGTACATGGCTTTGTCAGTCATTGTTCAACATACCTGTAACTTACTTATCTAACTCGCTATCTTAAAAGGAGAAGAACCACAAACATAAATTAAAAGCCTTTTAGATAAAGTGCAACAAATGCAGCTCCTGAAAGTGCATTTAAACTTACATTCCTAATATTGCAGACACAAGTGTAGCCCATACTGTACATAAAACCAGAATAGCAGCGTTCTCCTTATTCGTCTGGAGGATCTCTGTACGAATCTGTATCATTGATCAATGGAAATGAAAGCCTCTATAATACGATACATGGTCAGCTCGGCTACTGTTCTCGTTTGTTTCATAACTAATTGCAATCGAGTATCGCATTAGTAGTTACGTACCCTTATCTGGTATATTTTAGCACAATAGCCGTTCTTAAATTAAAGTCTAACATTAAATTGTCAGGGATATATATATATAAACACAAGACTGACAAAGTAATAATTACTTACCCTCACACCTGAAGAAGGCTTCACAGCCGAAACGTCGTGTTTTCTCTTCTCTTTTCAGCAGGAATAAACCTATTACTTGTTTCTTTGCAGACTACGCCTGCTGACGCAGCTACCGACCTGAACTCAAATATGTATTTTAAATCAGATTAATTGAAACGTTCTGATTCAGGGCCCTATGCAGTCCTTGCTAATTAAAACAAGTATAACTGCTCTGCTTTGTTTGTCCAGTTTAGTTCCGCACGGTTTTTTCGTTGCAGTTGAGCTCAGAATTGGAGATGATCTCCAGTACTAACTAGCCCCCAATTTAGTGCGCAGTGCTACAGTAAATCAGAAAGTTCATTTAAATTGACCCAATGACATGCAATATATCAATACAAAAACAACATTAAATACATTCATAGAACAACAAAACAAAGAGAACGATTAGCATTACGAACATGATGTTAGGAGTCAGATAAAATAATTAACCCATTTTAGGATTAAGAAGCACGTTAACACTCCGTGTCATAGACTCGTGTGTAACTACTGCCACCATGTGGAAATTTCTCGAAAGTGTCTTTATTTAACCTCAATACCGGGACCTGTGGTAGCTTCGTCACCCTCGTCTCATAACTCGTCTTATTACGTCGCCCACGCCTTATGAGCTAGAAAACGCGCAATGATTGGGCAAGAGGAACGTCATTCACGTCATATCCGCGATGCCATTGGAGAAGAACCGCGTCACTCAGTGAGTTCCGGAATGTCCACTATCATTGGACGGAAGCCGTGTCACTCATGCTGAGGTCTTGGATCTCCGCAATCATTGAACTAGAGTCGCGTCTATTACCTTGCATACTAAAACCCCTACTCTGATTGGAGAAAAAGCCTGTTACGCGCACCTAGGCTTTTACGTCATATTGCAGCGACTGGTTAATTTGAGATTAAAGCGACAGAGCTGCTGGTCCACATTTTATGCGTTGTTGCAGCACTAAAACTTCGCTAAAAAAAAGTCGCTTTAGCACTATAAAGTAAAAATTAGTAGTGGGTTGTTTTCTACATGTCAAGCACTTCTGGAAGCTGGATAGTTGTATTTTAAATGCAAAGAGTAATTATTAATATATTCCAGTAATCGTTGGACAAGTTATTTACTTTGAGTGAGGTCGAATTGTTGGTAAATTCGGATGGATTGCTTCCAGTCTCCATGTTTTAAATCCTGGGCATTAAATCAGTTTCTCCTATCCTGGTTTCGCGACCTCTTATTTAACAAGCTGCAGCCGCTTTTAAACATTTTCTCAGACGGAACTCAAACTCTGCGACTCTCATTAACCCTGTAGACTGGTTATTGTCTACTTAGTTTTCAGATCTGTAACTTCACACGTGTTAAGTTACGTCTCTAATCACAGTTTGGATTTCTTCCTCCTCCGTCTCCTTTCAGCTTTTACTTGGGACACTGTAGGGAACCTTGGTTTCTAGGTTTGAACTGAACGCGTGGTGAAAACGCAACTCTCGTAGCTTATGCCTTGCACGGTACTGATTTCACGTGTGGTTTTAAGAAGTTCCCCTTCACAAAATAAAGTATGCTTTCACAAAACATTATTAAGTCATAAAATGAGACTAAATGAGCAGATGCTCTTCTCTTAAACAGCTTTACTCTGCACTTAAATTGATTGAATGGCACGTGTTTTAAATGCCTATTAAAATTCAAGCGTACAATATCCTGTAGACAAAAAGTAATGTAGTAAATTGCAGAGTATATTTGAATAGATGGTGGACGTGTGAAATCGCTCTACGCAGCGGAACATAAGTGATTGCATTCATTGTTTCCTGCAGGTTACCCTCCTGTCTTACATTGTACTGCTGTCACTTTCCATATTCTTTGCATATCTTTACTCGCCATGTTCTCATTTTGGTGGGAGTAGCAAGATCCCCAGAATCCGATTAAATACTCTTCAGCACCCCAGATAGACTGGGGGGATTTGCCAGATTTCCAGCTTTATTACTGCGTCTTTCAATTCGGGGGGTGCTGAGCCAAGTACGAATCGCAGTTTCAAACGAGCTGTTTTCAGTTTAATTCCAGTGATCGTCCAACAGAGGGGGCACTTCCCATGTCCTACTCACCCCACTGAGTTAAGAAATTGTTCAGCATTTTCCAATTAGTCCGTACGACCTAATGTAAAACAATGCGCTTAGAGGAGAAAGATAGGACAGCTACGGTGGAGTTTAAAACACGTGTCTTGGGAGACTAAAGAACGCAGATTTTTGTTCTTCGTTGCCATTTTTATATGAATAATGTAGAACGTTGCATGGCATACAGTATGTGCAAGTATGTGTCATTTCTGATCCTGAGCTCGAAGCTGTGCGGATTTTCAAGAGATGGAAGAGCTACACGTGTGATCACTCGCACATCCCTTCAATGAGAAAGTGGGTAATGAAATAATTGCCTGAAGTCTCATTTTGCTGTACTATTTAATTTCTCATGGGGTACGACTCTCAGGCATAGATTAAATTATTTCTGTGAGTGAGTAAACAGCGCTCTCACAAAGACTCGAGAAGGCAGGAACAGAACAGTAAATGAGTAAGGGAAGACAATTTCTTCTCCTGGAGAGGCTTGAAGCACAGACAGATAGATAAGAGCTTTGATTTCGACACGGAGAGCTCTGACACCTCTTTACTGAAAAGCAGCAGTAAGTCAGAGAGGAGAGAAAATAGGAGCCGAATCATGAAGACACTAGTATCAAGAATAAACATTCTAAACTAAAGGGAAGCATTAGCAAGTATGATGTTAAAATAAAATAAAAAAACATCAAAAATTTTGGGGCTGCTGAGCTCTGGATCACAGATCTCTCTGGGGTTCTGTAGATGTTTGAGTTTTAAAATCTAAACAGAGCTTCAAGACACAGTAAAGTGACACTACTACAATTAATGCAGAATGAAACACTGCTTAGTTATTTTATTTAGTCTTCTGTTTGCTCTTGGCACAGACTTGTCCACTCCGTAGCAAATAACACCATTCCTCTGCTTTATTAAATAACGCTGTTATAACGCTCTGTGGCAGAAAAGAAGTTATGTAATGGAGACACAATAGAGGTAAGAAATGGATTATATGTATTTGTTCTAAAATGCAAAACACTTTTTTTTTCCAGTTTGTCTCTCACATCAATACGCTTTTACAGGATAGGTTTGATACACATTTAATAAAAATAAAACTTTATTTGCAAAAAACATTTTTTTGAAGTGCTGGTGGTGAAATTCCGTCCGCTATTTACATTTCTATTTTAAGCTAAAGCACAATAATAATAATTGTTGGGGGGGAGTGTAAATTAAGCACCTTTAAATTTGCAAATGGTTTTAGTTAAGCTTCGATTTATCCATGAACTGCCAGAGCAAAGTTTCTTTTTGTTATAATATCAGAAATATCTGAATAATACCCACATACTGATAACGAGAACAATAAGTATCCACATTTAACTGCAGAGGCGGATGATGTCATCGAAAATCGCACTCAGCGGAGACGCCCACAGACAGCAGGTGTGAGTGAAATATCATCATTGACATTGCTTACTTTTTTTTCTTTGAAATGGTGTATAATTCACAACATTCTTCTTTTTTGTTTGCAGTTTTGACATTATTATAAGTTGATTAAATAAAATATCTTTGTGCCCAACTGAAATATTCAATCCTGGAAAGTTCAGAGATGTTGCTGTTGTCTGGGCTCATGCACAATTGTAGAGGATTTTGAGTTTGTGTTAGTCTACTTTACATGGTTAGGTGTTTGCTTACATAGCTTTTGAATAGTAATTATCACATTATAAAGTCTCATACACCATAGTTCCACGTGTAGTCCACAATGTAGCACAAAGGTGTGTGCTAAATCCAAAAGTTTGATGCAATTGACCCACAACAATAGGTTCTTTGTTTTTTATGAAAAGGTGGCACTTTCAAGATAGTCAGTTTCTGAATAGGCATGACAATTGGCAGAACAGTAGCAGGAGTTTCACTCATCATCTTGACACATTTTCAACAGATAAAAAATGAACATCAGTCTAAATTAGATTAATGCTTTATTACCCTAAATCATTATCTTTAATTTCATAACTGCTTTGTTACATTATTCATTCTTAATCTATAGTTATATGTTATGTGGAGTGGGACAGGAAGCACTTTGTTAGATACTGGATATTTAAACATTGGGTATTTATAACACTATAGCAACAAGACTTATTAAGTCACTTAGAATTTAATAAAGAATAATAAAGAATTCACTTATTATTAAAGAGTTCAATAATCTTAGTGTACCTATATCAAGCAGTCTGGTTTTGCACAGCACAGGAATATAGCTAAAGAGTGCGGTGAATGTAAAATGTGGCGTGTGGAAGTATTTGGGCTATCACCCCAAAAGCCTGGTTTCAAATCCCAGTCAACGCTCAACCTTGGAGACACAATCTTTTTCCAGTTATAGAATTTAATTTGTCTACTGTCTTGACCTATATTGATTTTATACTGCATTTTACAGTATGTTAAATATTAAATTAATATTAAAAAATAAGGCTGTTTTACAATGCTAAATTGCTCAGCTGTGTTAATATTCCATATTAAGTTAATTAAAAAAAGTAGTACAACTTTTTTTTACAAAAATAATGACAGCAAGTATTCATAGAAAAGGTTAAAACATTAAAGGGTTTTATAAAGTATCTAAACTTTCATAAAATTAAAACAAGCATGTCAAAACGTTTCCAAAATAACCACAGTAAGTGACCAAGTTAAAGATTGTGATGCAGAAAATGATTATAAAGAAGGTGGAATACTGTTTTGTACTTTATTTTGATTTTTAGCTACCACTACCAGCTATATACAATATGTATCATATATTTATGTTTATAAATTAATGTTATGTTATGACGTTCAGAGACACTATACATCTGTTATTTTTATTGCTACATCTGTTATTTTTATTGCTACCAAAATTTCTCTTTAGTTACAAATATCCATACTGATATTCAATATTAAGTGGATTTAAAGATGATAAACAGTAGGGAATCATATTAAATGAAGCAACCATTTCAAAACCAGCTAATGCACCACAAGTGCCACCTATCGATCGTCTTTGGCCCGTGAATCACACACCCCGTGTCGCTGCAGTACTACCAACATGGCAACAAAAACAAACACACATTCTGAGTGTCTGTATCTGTATATCCTCTTTCCGGGTAAAACTCCAGGACAATGAGAGAAGGGTGGGAATGTTCAGGTGACCACAGGTGGTAGGAAGACATATGTTAACCAGTGGAGGCTACTTCAGGAGCCAACAGCCTACAGATAATCAAGTACCTCCCTCCTTTGTTCCAAGAAAAGAGAAAGAGAACACCTGACCCTGACAAAATCACTGGGCATTGCATGCATACCTCAAGTAAACACAGCCCTCAAACCTCTGCCCTGCTCCCGCTTCTGTTACAACATGGCACAAATATGTTGGAAATAGGGTTGATACTGAATATAAATGTGCTGCTTTTGTGAATATAAATGTTTCATTCTTGAACTTCCTTTTCATATACTTCCATAAAATAAATTCAGTTTCAATGAAAGTACAATGTACTGTATATTACACCACTAAATGATTAAAATATTCACAGATGTGTCAGTTGAACACAAACTAAAGTGTATTTTTAACTCTGATATTAAGAAGTCGGTAGGCATGAATTGCTCTGGATAATTATAAACAACTCAGTCAGGGGCAAAATAGAACAAAACGTGTTTATACATTTTATTATAGATTATACACCGGGTTAACCCCGATATATAACATCTGTGAGCTGAAAGGGACAATAGGTGCCGCACGATGGTCTCTTACTGGTGCTATGGAAGTGAAGGTACTGTAATATGGTATGTTTGAATTACGTGCGCTCTAGTCGGTCCTACTGTTTTTTTTTAATCTTGCTGAAGTGGTGAAGTTGCATTGCAGGGGTGGGACTTCTGCAGTCGGGAGGAGTTCTCTCCAGATAAATGCTGCTCCAGGTTTTTTTCTGCACAATTTATGCAGTTCGTCGGCAGCACCGGTCTCATTGTTTTTCCGCATTTGTGAAATAAATCGTTCTTTGACAGAAAGGGTAAGGGGAAGACTTTAATTGGAGGGTTTACCCCTAGCTTGCACGACCTGCATGGTGAACGGGAGAGAAAAAAAGGTCTATCTGCTCTTGCATTTTTCCACAGCATCTCTGTAATCCCATGGAAAGAGCCTTTAAATGATCTGAAAAAGAAGGACTGATTGAGGTTTCCTAATTCCCTGTTGCACCAAACGAAAACTCGTGTTAGGTAAGTGCAGTTATAGTCCGCGTGTTATTTCAGGCGATTTATTTGGATATATACAGTATGTACGCTACAGCACTGCTTGCTAGGAGGATTTTTGCTGATGTTGCGTATTGGCTGTGCTTTACAGTATGTTTCCTTTGTAGTTCTATAAATAGACTCTTGGGCCAGTGATTGTTTTTTTTACTACAGGGATATCGTTCCTTGTGTCTTGTCATCGTTTTTGTATATGAATGGTAACAGCGACTGGAAGTAATGAGATATCGGTATTTCATTGATATATTCCATCCACGGTAACAATCAGTGTTGTGCCGGCCGGATTCTGTGCATTGAAACGAGCAGCTCCTTACCCATCTCACACGCGAAGGAACTGTACACACAAAACTGCCGGGAAAGCACGTACGTTGCCACTCTTAATATGAAGTCTTAGAATAAACTCTATTTTCTCCACGTTTAAAGGCATAATAATATAAAGTAGGAACACAGTGAATTATAAATACCCATACTTAACATTTTAAATGTAATGAACAGGTGCAAATATACATATCTAAATAGTAATGAGTTCTCTTTTGTACCAGGTTTTGGTAAATCAACAAAGTTTGAATAACACGCTTTTTTTGTTGGCTATAATTTAGAAAAGATTGGGAAAAAAACATGGTCAACTGGGACACAGAAACACGTTTTGATTGGTTATTTTTCAAGATTAATATGTAGAAAGTTTGTCTAGTGATTATTACCTTTGCCTTTGACTATTTAAATATAAATAGATCAGTTTAGTTGAATACACTGTATGCAATTCACAATAAAATCTAAACATTTATATTGTGATTACAATTAAAATTGCAATCAAAATGTACACGAGTATAAATAATAATAGTATTATTTTTGAAGTAGAATGTATATGCCATCTTAAATTTTTTTTTTTCCCCCGTCAGTGCCAGAAACTGCATGGAGTTGCCCAGAAAGCCCTCATCCCTTGGCTCTCGTCTTCCCCAGCCGCGTTTTCCACGCGTTTTATACGCGTCTGACATCTTTCAGCCGGTCCTGCTTCTCGCCCGTTGTTGTCATTACAGCCTTTCTCGGGCAGCGAGCGTAGCGCGCAGCACAGCAGAGTACGAGGTTCGGTGTCTTTCACGGGTCTCGGTAAATCGTTGATTTAGCAATACAATGCGCCATTGTACGAATTAATAATCTGTCATCATATGGCTCCGAAATGTTGTAGTGGCCCATTAGCATACTGCCTCCAAAATAGAGAACGCTAACAGGGGTGCACAGTACGTGTGTGTTCTGTTGCTTTGCAGTCTGCTTTTTTGCAGCTGGTTATGTTACTGTACAGTGGTAATTTGCATTCCAGTGCAAATAATACGAGCTTCTAAACTTCATCGCCATTATTTTTCTTTCTTGTCAACATTATAACACTGATGCCATGTAAAATGTACTGGATAAGCATCAACAACACGTTTAACATACAGCAGATTGCACCTTTTAATTTAGGAAATTATACTTAAAATTCCTGGGTATTTTTTGTTTATGCTGTCCAAACACTGGAGGCAATGGCCAACACATTTTCACTACCAGATGAATGGTGTATCATATTATTCCCAGCACAGCGAAGTAACCAGAACGGTCCAGCCACCTTTATGTTGAATAAACACAACATGTAGCTTGCCTCATGTTACTAGCTAGTGAACGTGTTTGCTTTGAGTTCTACAATATACTTGCAGAATACAGGTAAGTATTTGGTAAGTTTAAGCTCAAGGAAAACTGGAACATATACAAGCAGATATTGAGTGAGAATTGCATTACAAAATAGTTTATAGTTTATACAGCACTCTGCAAGGACATGTTTGTTTAAATGGATAAAAGCAACCCAAGATCAGGGTGACTTACACTCAGTTCTATTTGTACATTGCGATGTACAATGCCCATTTGTACATCCTGCTACTGCCGTTGCCAGTTTTCGCTATATCCGAGATTTGCCAACACACATAAGAGCAAGAGGGCCGTGATGGAGGCCGAAACATGAAGGTCATGGGGGAAGGCGAACGTCAGCAGACTGCACACGTGTAAAACCTGTGTTATTCACTGCGCACAGTAGGGAGAAACAAAAGAAAGGCAAGAGAGTGAAAAAGAGTCATTCAGCGACACCAGCCACAGAACGCAGTCCCATTGTCAACGATGACAGCGCTTGAGAACCGGGCCTGTGTGAAGACATCCATGGTGATTCACCTTCCGAACTGACATCTTGAAGCTTCTCTGTCCCTGAACTTGTTGAAACGCCCACCTTCGGTGGCAATGCCACTGGTCAGAAAGCCCCATTGAAAGAACCAGACAGAGTGGGGACGACTGCCTGACTGTCACTGTGCTCCGTGAGAGCTAAGTGAATTTGATTCCTTCTTGGAATGCCTCACATCCAATCAAAATTTTCAAGGGGAATTCTGAGAAACAAAGTGAGGACAGCCAAGCTGGGGAAAAACAAACTCGGAGAGAAATGCTAGGGAATGCGGAGCACTGGAAGAACTCTGTGGTGGAGTGAGGGATACAGTCTTCATGAGGCTTAAATATTTGTTGGTGTACAAGGTAATTAATAGATTAATTATGTTCTGGTGGTATTGATCTCCGTTACGCTCTTGTTCCTATGGTAACTGGTGGAGTGTTACAGGACTGTCAGGCTGAGTGGATGGTTGCCTGGAGACAGAGGAGTCATGGGTGTGGGTATGACACCCCAAACCTCTCAGACCATTTCTGAAGCTCAGTTCATAATTCATGCAAGTGTCGTTTTTTCTCCTCTTCATCACATTTTGTTGAAAGTTACTGCACTCAGCAACTGTAAAGGTGCCCATGTTTACAGTATTCTTATAATAGTGCTTTTTTAATGTTGTTTTTTGTAATAGTATAAAATGTGCATTGCTGTGATATGACACGTTAGATGAACTCAAGATTTATTGGAGTTGCTTGCAATAAAGGTTCTACTTTTTAAAATTATATTCCTACGCTTACTGCTGTTGCTTTCATAATTCTCTTTATTTGTGGTCTTGAAGATGAAAAGATCTATTATCTTTTGTGTAGTGTCATTATGTCTTTGTGTTTTTCATAAACTCCAGGGAATAAAAGATATTACTACATTAGGACTTGTTACTAGTTATTAATACATCTGGGCCAATTTTGTAAATTGGACATCAGATTGAAAAAGGTCTTCCTCTTAATCTCCATTGTCCTGCTTGCTTCATTCTTTATATGGTATATAAATTAGACACTTTTATGTACAATTACTTCATGCATGCCAGGAAAAAAGCACTCCTCAGTTTCTGTACAGATTATTTGTTTTTTAGTATAATTTCTTAGGGATTCTTAAAAAAATGCTGTAGAATGGGTGACAGCCAGCACCTGTCAAGCACTAACATCACCAAAACTAAGGCTGTGACTCTGAGTGTCCCTGCCGTTGCGCAGAACTGCTCCCATCTCCACCCCTCTTGGCCACCACCTTTGTCTTTGATTCAGCGGATTTATACTTCTGAGGTGCAGAGCAGTTGCCTTTGGATTAGCTGTCGAGTGTTGAAGCTGTGAGACATCCAACCCCATCAACCCCATGACCTCTTACCCTTCAGAACGTGCTACCCTCCGTCAGCTGGTGCAGGGCATGTCTGCGCCGGTTGATAAGTGGTGCCACCCTCAAGCAGTTGGTCCAGGATTCACCCGCTCCTTCTCTGGGAGTGCTGCTCTCCATCATCCTCCATTTCTCCCACCTTCTCTAGCAGCTCACCCAGCTCCCTTTCCATGCTAAGGGTCAGGACAGCTCTTCCGGTCCTAAGAGCTTTGAACAAGTTTCTTCTGGCAAGCACAACCTGCCAGAACACTTAGTAGGTAACTTGGTTCCTACAAAAACACCTGAGACATTCTATATAAAGTTTAATAAGCAAAGTGAGACTCTATACATGACCTAATTTCATTGAAAATGTGAGGAATTTGACAATGTTTTGTAGGAAGACTTGACATGTGTGGTTTGATCATTCTGTAAACCCACAAGCTCTTCTTTACCTCTTTTGGGTAAAGAAGTGCCTCCTGTTCTTGCTTTTAAATGCACTTCAGTGTAGTTTCCTTTTGTGCCTTCTGGTCTGTTCCACTGTTCATTTTGAAGAAATCTTTTGTGTTGAGTTTTTCAATGCCTTTGAATACTCGTACCAGGTCTCCTACATTAAGTTTTAAAAGGTTCAGTTCCTTAAGCCTGTCAGTATATTCCCTTAATTCCAGTACATGATTGCTTTTCCCTGGACTGATGGAGAAGAGCAGTATTTCTTTCTGTCGCATAACGGCCAAAATTGTTCTAAATATTCTGAATATGACTTTATTAGTGCCTCATACGGTTTTAACATATCTCCCCTAGATTTCAGTTCTTTTATATATATATATGTTTTATTTATATACCCAAGCATTTTGTTTACCTTTTTAACTGCTTCACACATTGTGTAGAAGGTGTACAGTATGTGTTAACAGAAGATTTGTTTCATAAGTAGCCTAATTTATCTCAGTGTTCCCCTATGTTTTATTTAGTTTATAGTTCATGTTTTTAAATACCTGCTCTTACCTACAATAAATGTCATCTGCCAGGTGTTTGCTCAATTCTGATGAAAGAAAATAATGTTTTGAAGTTCATAAGCAGCTTCTACATTGTACAGTATGTTAACTCTCCTACTTTGGTATCATTTATGAACTTGACTAGTTTACAAATTACAATATAGCTAGATCATTGCTACAGTGTAAATCAAGGAGACCAGTGGTCCGTGACTTCAGTAAGATTAACCTAGCCAGAATGTCATAGATCAGTGATCAGAGTTAGTGATTATGAAATGTTTCCACATCAGTTTTTATCTGATGATTTTAAGTCTAGGAGCATAGTGCAGAAAGACTGTGACAGATAATGGGACTTCTAATGTACATATTGGCTTACTATCAAGAATATGTGTTTCGCAGCATTTATGAATACAAATAATTAATTTAGCAAGATTATATTAATTTTCTATTAAGAAAAAAGATTTACCATGCATAGAAAAAGGAAACTAGAACTTTGAATTCATGTTGAATTACTGCTTAACTGATATGCTTTAATGCAATCCTGTTATCAATTACATGTTATATAATTAATTATATTCTCTACCGCTGGTATATTTGATTAAATTAAACTTTGCCAGCATTTTTCTGAAGACACAGCTTATTTTAGAATATGTAGGAGGAAAAGGCTGATTGCTCACTGGTTCAGAGGCATGTGGTCTCTCGAGAAATGGAGCTTATTTTGATGAAACGATCACAGCACTGTGGAAGAAAGCCGGAGATTACACCCACACTCTTTTGTGTTGACTCTGAGGCTGGAAGTTCTGTAACAGCCTGTCAAGTCAGTCACACTGCAGTGCATCGTTAACTTGGCTTTGCTATAATTGCACAATTTGCTGTATTTTTTAATAATTTTGAGTGCCTACTTCTAACTGCAAATAACCTTTGTTATGCAAATGGAATACTAGAGGAAAACTGTTGTTCTTGGCTCTCATGAGATCTTATCTTTGTGGCATGTGTGTATAGATTCTAATGGCTTATTGATCTGATCTCATTAAGCTATTTCTTGAAAGATCGTAGTGAATTGCTCCTCAATCTGTTCTGCCCCTTTGTGTGAAGAAGGTACCTCAAGATTTACATTCATCATATCTTGTTTTATTATTGATGCGATAAAAATGCACAAAAATGACAGACAATTCCTGCTTTCATGTTCTGTACTGTGGCTTTGGTCATCAGAATTATTGATGTAATTAGCTCTATTTGCAGGTTCCTCTTTTAAATTTTTATACTGGTAATTGGTTTTCCGAGGAGCAGGCTATGTGAAGCTAGGATTTTCATTGGTTACTGTGGTAGCCTGTCAAATGGAAGTCAACTGCCTTAGAGTCAGTGATCTACAGTATCTACAGGGGTTAGTGCAATTAGCTGTTCGCGATTCAGTTGCGCCCAGATAACTGATGTACTGTAATCTGATTTTAAGGATTAAAGAAGAGTTCGACCACTAAAACATGGCCCTTCTACTGTTGATGAATTTTGCTACTCACTGAGAAAACATTCCAGTCCCCCCTTTCTACTGACTTTTGACAGTTTACAAATAGCAATGTGTGCAACGGCACCACCCTGTTGTCCTAAGATGGCAGGCTTTGCATCTGCAATTTCCGGTAAAGGTGCTTCATATAATTTGTGCTTTCACTGAGGGTGGTTGGCATATTTTTAAAATGCTAATAGTTTTATCAAATGGCTAACATGCATCAGAGTGATTGAAATTCATGTCAGTCGTAAATGTAAAAAGTATGACCCCAAAGGCATAATTATTTGCTGTGTGAGAGATGGGCTTTACAAGAGACTAGTGCACTTTTTCATGGAAAGAGGTTCATTTCAAGGATGGTTATAAGAATAACCCAACACTTTTCCTCTTCTATCCTGACTCGTTCATTCTTTAATGCAACTGTTCAAGTTATTATCACTTTCTTCTTTTTTAGGCCATTGCTTATAACATGTCTTCAGCACATGGGCGGGACATAGCAAACTACCATATAAGTGGTGAGTGTGAAGAGACTGACTTGGTCAAACAATTACAGCTGCTCAACACACACCGTGCTTGAGTAAAGATCACCTGGGGACTGGGCGAAGTGTAATGGACAAAATACCAACTTCCTAGACCCTTGGGAATGGCAATTTTATATACATATATTTTAGAAAATCAAAAGAATTACCATGAAGTGCTACAAAGAGCCCACAGATCCTTTGGACAGTACATCTACAGCATATCTTATGTTTGACCTCTATAATAACCATGTTAGTATTCAAACTAATTCTTACATGCACATATTTCTACTATTTAGTAGGATATTTATTAGATATTGATTGTACTGTAGATAGCTGAGCATACGTTTTTTGCATATATAAACTAAGTAGCACTAAAATAACTCCTGTAGCCTCAGCCTCATGTGTTCTATATACACACAGACTACATAATTCCTTGGCAGTATTGGCTGACTATATGCTGTAAATATATGTATAAATAGGCTACTTAAAAACCAGTGTCGTTAGCAACAATTCTATTTGTTGGGCAGTGAATATGACAGTTCCTTGATCCCATCATTCCCTTGCTGATGAAAGAGTTTGATGTGACTAACCTTAATTAATACTTAGATTTAATTGCCAATTCCCTCTATGTGCTGCACGACCAGACCTCCTTATCCCAGGACTCATGCTGTTTCAGTAGCCTGTACCACAGCTTGAGATGTTGTAGACACATGAATCTTCTTTGACAAAATGTCCGTAATCTCCGTGTAGCTCATTTTGACCTAGTTAGTTGTTCTACAAGGGCACAATAATCCCACTAGGGATTCGAAATGTGAACATACTATCTAAGAACGGGGGCAATTACACTTTTTTCCATTTTAACAGAGATGTGATTTTTGTTGAAGTTGAGATTTTATTGTTTTTCTCTTTCAGTGGTTCGAAGCCCTCCCGCCTGGGAAGTAGGAATTTACGTGGTGGGATTCCTGACACTGCTTGGGGTGGTGGTAATCAACCTGTGGAAACTGTGGAAATCTGGCAGCTACCCAACACCCTCTCCCTTTCCTAACTATGACTACCGCTACCTGGAGCAGAAGTACGGCATGTCGTACACTGAAGTGAGACAAAAGGTACAGAAGTCACGCCTTCCTTAACCCATGAGACGGCATGGCTTTGCTCAATCCAGAATGTGTTCTTCTTTCTTCATTATCAATGACAATAATATTATTATAAACTGACAGTTCAGGTGACGTATCTTTATTTTTGTAGAGGGTAGCAGCTTCAAACAATAAAAAGACCCTGGATAAGACCTCATCCAGCCGAAAGTCCAGCCTACAGACTGAGGATGCATATGAGAGCATCAGCGAGCTGGGAACCCTGGAACTGATGAGTCGAGACCTGGATGTGACCCCCTATGGACCGTTGCACAGGTCCGTTTCCACAGACTCCCTCTGCTCCATCTCCTCTATCGGCAACAACTTTGGCCATGATTTCACTCTGGGCCAGGTGGAGGTAATCTTGGAGTATGACCTCCACTCCAACAGTCTGTATGTTACCCTGATGCAGGGGAAAGATCTCCTGGAGAAAGAAGATGCCAGCTTCGTGTCCTGCTTTGTTCGTATCAGCCTCCTGCCTGATGAACAGATTGTGGGCATCTCCAGGGTGAGACATGTGTGATGTCTTTCATTCTTGTCATTTTTAATCTAATTTAGGGCCATTACAGGATATTTTTTTTAGTCTTTGAATCTAGGACACAGTACAGCTTTTTATAATAAACATTTGGTGATTTAACTGAGCTAAAACAAATGTCTGACTTCACCTCCTGCCATTAAGGTGGTATAATTTCAAAACATCAATGAAAAGGAAGCTCTTTTATTAAAGACTCTTATCTATATCTAGCAATGTTTGAAACCTGTTTTTTCAAATATGACAAAACTTTATCTTCATTGAAGATAAATTGAATTATCTTTAAATTATCAATTAAATTAAATTGAAAGAGGTTTGTCAGTAAAGGAGGGCAAGTTTAAGAATATTGGAACACACCTGAACACAGCAGAATGTAAAGGTTAGTATTTGCTTTCAAAGTGCAGATGTTTTTCATAACCAACCTTATTTTGGCTGATTGGTTACTGTACCTGTGGATTCTTTCTTTTTTATCATATTCCAAATTGTTGAGTTTGGTACTCAATAGCTAATTTCTATTTGCTATTGTACTAACCCAGTTTTTCATTTCTATCTATACTGTATATGAATTGACTGCATTTCCTTAAAATAAAATTATTTGGATTTTGGTAAGGGTAATTTGTACTTTCAAATACAGACTCCAAACACTGCTCAGTATTCTTTTATGGGCTAATCACCCAATAATTTAATTGTCCCGTAACGTTTCCTCCCTCATAATTAATACTTTCTATTGATTTTATTCACCTGAAAGGATTGAACTGAACTGGTTTTATTGAATATTAAATACTGGTCTGCTACATGTTCTTTAAGGTCAATGATCATTATTACAATTGATACTAAAAACCTTACTTCAGATGTCACTGCCCCAGTCCTCTGAAGGGCACTATATATTTCTTAGACAAATTGGAGCAAGTGGTACACTGAAGGTGCATATTCTGATCATCATGCTGTTAATGGTAATGCTTGAAATCGAAAAAAATATTAAAAACCTTGGAAACTGTACTTATTTTTATTTTGTGTTTAAGTGTTTAAACATTTAGTACAACAGTAAACAAACTAAATTATTGTAACTATCATTTTGCAATTGAAGTAGAATGTTGACTTCTCTGGCACAGTTTATCTTTGTTTCTCCCAGGTTCAGAAGAATGCCTTTTCAGTGTTCTTCAATGAGAAATTTTCAATTTCAATGGATCCTTCTGCCCTAGAAGAGAACAGCCTGAGGTTCTCTGTTTTTGGCATTGATGAAGATGAGAGGAACATCAGTACTGGGGCTGTAGAGCTTAAATTGTCAGATTTGGACCTTTCCATCAGGCCCTTCAATGCCTGGTTGTACTTGCAGGATGTTAACAAGGTAAATACTGAATAAAAACTCCTTACCTAATAATGTATAGCTTAGATTTACATAACATAATCACAAAAATAATTCTGCAGTTTATCAGGTTTGAGAAGATTCATTTAAATTTCAAATTAAAAATTCAAATACAAATTTTCAATTTGTAAGACTCACCTTACTGTGTATTTTACTTGAATCTTTTACAGCTCCAGATGGGTAAAAATTCAGAATAGTATTGGGCCCCTTAGTCAAACATTTGTGTTCCTAGAAGATATCAGTATTATGTCCACTATCAATAACTTCCTCAGAGTTTCAGCCTCAGCCTTGTGTCTGAACTCTTACTGTATACACTGCCTTCCAAAAACATTAAGACATTTCCCATGTGGTGATATTTTGTGAAATTACAAAATGATGTGTACGTACAGTACCAGTCAAACGTTTGAGTACACCTGCTTGAAACCAGGTTTTTCATGATTATCTGTGCTTTAAACTGTATAAACATGTCTATAAACACTTTATATTTAATTACATGATATGTCAGTCACTGGCAATAAGTCAGTTGGAACTGTCATCTCCAGTGGTATTCTTCTCCTTGCCAAATGCAAAGAGTGGGCTCCATCTGGACACCATCAACACATTCTTTTGCCAGAGAAAAAGAAAACATCCTGACAACATAACATTTTATTCTTTCTATGGTAACACAAAAGATCAATTTAATTTATGTGAAGAAAATTACCTTAATGGGCCCCACAATTATTTGTGTAACCCGATTCATTATTCCAGAATAAATGCATGTATTTCTATGATGTTCCTTGGTCAGGTGCATTTCAAGAAAAGACTCATCTAGGAAGACTAAAGACCTTCAAAGCACTCATTGAAAAGCACAGGCTTAAGGAAATATACAAAAATATCAGTTTTTCCCTTGAGCAGCCCTATTTGAAATATACTGCCTCACAAAAAATGTCTGGTTTTTTTTAAGCCATGCAAGCTATGTAGATTCTGTAATTCTCTTTTTAAACTGCAGCTCGAACCCTGTCTCACTTCACACAAATAGTTATTGGTGTTGGAAATACATAGAACCACATTTTGTACCTTCTTCTTTTGATTTCGTCAAGATGCTTCATCTTCTTTGTTTTCCGTATTCTGAGGGCCTGGTCAAAGCGTAATGGACTGTCTGTTTGCATTTTGAAGGCAGTAAACTCAGTAGGCGAAGTCTTGCTGTCTCTCAGCTACCTGCCAACAGCGGAGCGGCTAACTGTGGTGGTGGCGAAAGCCAAGAACCTGGTGTGGACGAACAACAAGACAACAGCAGGTGAGGCTTTGAGGACGTCAACACTCCAGGAGGCCTCTGCTTCCTGTACAGCTGTCTTCCCACAATTGTACAGCTGGTCAGGAGACTGAGAGCAGGAACTCATTCCTCAAAGCTTTCTGAGGAAAGTGGCCCAGACAAGGCTGCCATCTTCTCTGAGCCTGCTGTGCTCTTACTCCCTCTTTTAACGGAGTGACCTTCCAATGTTAAATCTCGTCTTACAATCAAAATATGTGTTAGTTATATCATGAATAAATGCTGATTGTGTACAGTATGTATTTAATGCTGACTGAATAAAAAGAGATAAGTTATATCATGTACATTTAAACTGGAAACAGAGACACACTAAATTATTGCTTATTCAAAGATGCACAAGTTCAATAATTTGTTCAATCATTTATATTTTCTAACTGATTCTTCCAATTCTGGGTCTCAGGGCACAACTTAATACATATGATATTTTTAGGAATACTGAGAACCAATCTGATGGTACCAGATGATCATTTCCTCTCAGACAATCAACAGATTTAAGTTTAAATGGAAAGTAGTTTGTTTCCATGAGGCATAGATTCAGTAGAACCTCTTAAGAGATATTAAATTAATTTAAAAGAAGAGCATAGTTTTGTAAGTCTACAGTTCAAATGTTTGGACTTTGGCTGATTACTTTTGTTCCAAGTGACCAAACTTTGTATCGTCTCTTTGATATTAACAGATCCATTTGTTAAAGTTTATCTTCTCCAAGATGGAAGGAAAATTAGCAAGAAGAAGACAGTTGTGAAAAAAGATGACACAAACCCAATCTTTAATGAGGCCATGATTTTCTCTGTGCCTGCCATTGTATTACAGGTAAGAATTAACTTGACTGACAAAGTCCTAAAGTAAAACTGGAAGAAAAATAGATATTCTAAGGTTATTACATAGTTGATTAACTGCAGTTCCATACACTGTAGTGGTTTTTAGCCCTTAAGATACAGTATAGGATGAAATTCACTTCATCTTCCGCTGAAGTCTAGCCCCCACCTGGGTAACACACAGCAGCCATTCCGTGCCATTGGGAAAATGCTTCACCAATGAATCAGGCTGAAAATTGAGGAAGGCCGGTTTGTGCTGCCACAAAGTGGGAATTATCCTGGACACCAGAGTAGATTTCCCTGCTCTTGCAAGCAGTCATGGGATCACAAATGACCAATAAACCAAGACCTTGGTTTAATGTCTCATCCCAGTGAGGACATCTCCTACAGCACTGTGTTCCCAGTCACCATAAGGGGGCTTTGGGATAGAATTCCTGGTCCAGAGAGAAAAGTGACACATACTGGTCAAACAACACCATCCTTGGAATGGAGTTCAGTGGATTTGCTTTGTAGCTGTATTGCAGAGAGATTGATTTTGCTCTAACTCTTTCTGCAGGACCTGTCTCTCAGGGTCACAGTGGCAGAATGCACTGAAGATGGGCGAGGCGAAAACATAGGACATGTGATCATTGGGCCCGAAGCCAGTGGAATGGGCATTACACACTGGAATCAGATGCTAGCCACTTTAAGGAAGCCAGTTTCAATGTGGCATCCACTGAGAAGAAATTAACTTCCTCCTGATTTCACTAAGGTTATAAATATGTTTGCATGGTGCCTAAAGTCTATAAATCCAACTTTGTTTGAGTATTAAGAAAGCAAAAATATTTTTTCAAGAATACAGAATGTCTACACTTTTGTTATATTTTGAAACTAGCTGTATGTACTATGGTATTACAATTAAAATATAACAGGTGGTTAGTTATAAAGGTGTTATAAGGATTTTATAAAATATATTTATCTTTAAAAGAACTAGGACCTAATTAGACTAGGGATCATTTTCAGATAGTGGAGTAATAATTAGCTGTAGTTTTTAGTTTGTCAAGTCCACCTTTTTATTCTCACATGTCTCACAAGCTGGGTTCCAGAGCATTTTTACAGTTAATGAAATGAGAATGGAAACTGGGGAGAAATCACACATTCTAAAGGAAATACAGGAATAAACACAGGAAATACCATACAAAAGGTGTACGTGTAACATGTTAATGAAAGCTTAATGGTGCTTTGAAGCAAACAGAGAAATATCTGTTACCCTATAGGAAACAATTGTCTTTCAATGACCAGCATAGGCCTGCATGATCTTTACTTTTCATTCCCAATCAGATATTCATTGACAGAGCAATAGTCACACCATGAGGACAGTTAAGACCATTAAATCTAACAGGGTAAATAACTTCAGCAGTCATTACAACTAACCAACTGGAACTTTGTTTTTAAGATCTTATACATACACAGTATAATGATTCACTAATCAAACATAAAAATATCAGTTTACAAAACATATTGATTACCATCTTGCAATTTAAATTTGTTTTGGTTGTTTTTCATGTTTCTGCAGCTAGCCTTAGAATAAACCTAATAGAAAAGCTATTTTTCAACTATGGCCTCAGCCTTTAACTATGCACCCTGCAGCAGAAAATATTACTGATCTGTACTAATTACATTGTTTTTCATAATTTGCGATTTTTCTATTTCTCATCCTGTGCCAAATCTAATATGACTGAAGCAATAGTTTCAGTGTGTGCATTTTCACATTTTATGGACTAAAATATAGATAGTTTTTCAGTGCATGACATTTTACAAATATCTTTTATTGAATGTGCCATAAGAAAATATTGTGTTGGATATTCTTTTAATTAAATAAAAAACATTTGCAGCAAAGATCTGGATTTTGTTTTTATCTGTATTATAAACACACCCTGGGGGAATGCACATCTGTGCTTCGACTGTCGACGAAAAACAAAGTTGTTTTTTTTTCTGAAAATCAAGCTTAAGGTCAAATGAATCAGTAACGTTTCTGATATTCTGACTGCACATACAGTATACCACCAAGCATAACATCCTATAAGTCAAGGCCACAAGATTCAAGCACCCCTTGTTCTCAGTACACGTCCCTTCATGACTGCACTACATGTGCTATGACTGTATTTTCCGAAATTGCACCAACACGATACAGAAAAATGAAAAGAGAGAAAACTGTCCGCTGAAGACTGACGACCGGCGTCCGGAGTCAAGCGGTGCCGGCGTGTCGCTCTGACGAGCAGACTGGCGGACAGCCCGCTGGAGTCTCCCGGGGTGCGGACAGGAGCACAGGCAGGGGCAGTGCGGAGTGGGGACTCTCTGAATAGGGGAACCTGGAAACCGGGAGCAGGAAGGGCTCTGCTGGGACGCTGGAATTCGCCTCGGGGGTGGAGAGCTCTCACCACAGCCAGGGGGCTCGGTGCTGACCGTCTCCAGGGCAGAGCGGAGGGGTGGCCGCCAGCTGCGACACGCCCACAAGGCCTAACACTTTCATACCGCAAGCGTGGGTATCTGCGTCAGAAGAAACACCTGAAGAAGGCTCCACGGCCAAAACGTTGTGTTTTCTTTCTTCTTTTTTTTTTCCAGCATGTAATAAACCTATTACTTGTTCCTTAGCATGCCGCAAAGGTGACAGCATCCGCGTCAGTTTAGGGACTGTCTTTCGAAAAAAGTGATAAAAGAAAGAAACAATACCTCTCTGGCGTAGCATGCAATTTCAAACGAATCCCTGCTATGCACCGAACAAATCTGCATGAATGATTACCATAGAAATTTGAATAGCTGTTCTATGCAAGCTGATTCTGAAACGTCAACAGAATGTCATCTCAACAGGTGTTAAAGTACATCTTTCTGGCCAATTTTGCAAGATGTGAAAGTTTTATTTTCCACTAGTATAGTGGGTTATTATCTGACACACGCTTGTCTCTGATATGTGAATATCCTAAAATACACTATTTCTGTCATTGCAGCTTTCTTTATAGTGCTACTGTGTATTTCAAACAGTGGAAAGGCCATTTGAGGATGGCACTGTCTGAGTAAAATTCAACAGAACCTTTAATAAAAGAACTGATTTTAACTGCATAAGTCTATTTCCTGTATAGTGACTCCAAACCAGAATAATTTAGTCCAGCCGGTTGTCACAGTTCATGATGATACATTCTTCTTTTAATTAATCAAACACATGGTCACGGGGGAGCTATAGCCTATACCAGCAAGCCACAGGAGCAAGGATACACCCTGGACATGATGTCAGTCCAGCGCACTCGGCAACAACCAGGGAGAACGTAGCACCCCAGGTCCAGACCTGAATGCATGACTCCACTGGTATAAGTCAGCAGTGCTAACCGCTGTGCCAGCGAGCCACCGTGCCACCCAGATTAGTGAGCAATTAAGTTTAAATGTTCTGTTCATCCTGCATATCGTCCAGGGTGTATCCTGCCATGCGACCAATGCTTCCCGGGATCTTTCATTCTTATTAAATCTCTATCTTAAAACATACAGTACATTTTTGTGTTATAGCAGTAAAAAACTTGTGTTTGATTTTTTTTTGTCACTGCAGGCCTAAGGTTTGGTTCACAATTTAAAGTCCCAAAGGGCTGTGTTGGCAGTGTTTGTTTAATTTCCATTCTTAGCCAGCAGCCATATCACCCTGCAACTCACAGCTGGCAGCCCACTGGAGCTCAGCAGGTGTGAGCCTGGTCAGTACCTGGATGAGAGACCTCCTGGGAAAAACTAAGGTTGCTGCTGGAAGAGGTGTTAGTGGGGCCAGCAGGGGGCGCTCACCCTGCGGTCCATGTGGGTCCTAATGCCCCAGTATAGTGACGGGGACACTATACTGTAAACAGGTGCTGTCCTTCAGATGAGATGTAAAACCGAGGTCCTGACTCTCTGTGGTCATTAAAAATCCCAGGGCGTTTCTTGAAAAGACTAGGGGTTTCACCCAGTGTCCTGGCCAAATTTCCCATTGGCCCTTACCAATCGTGGCCTCCTTATAATCCCCCTCTATGAACTGGCTTCATCACTCTGCTCTCCTTCCCACTGAGAGCTGGTGTGTGGTGAGCGTTCTGGCGCACTATGGCTGCCGTCGCATCATCCAGGTGGGGCTGCACACTGGTGGTGGTGGAGGGGATCCCCATTACCTGTAAAGTGCTTTGAGTGGAGTGTCCAGAAAAGTGCTATATAAGTGTAAGCAATTATAATTATTATTATTATTATTAATGAGCTGATCATTAGCTTAACTGGGGGATTAATCTGGGGTATGTGCCTACAGTATAGTCTAAGAAAAATGTAAAATGGCCTCTTTAACCCAAAGCAGGCATGTCTCAATCCAAATGGTGCTCTTACTTTAATGGTCTCTTTATGTTTAATGGTCTCTTACTTTATGTTGCAATAGCAAGATAACTGTTTGTTTTTACTAGAGTTACATTGCATATTCCTGTTTTCAAAGTCTTGCATGTTAGAAAAAAAAATCTTTAGAAACAATTAAGCTAATTAAGCTGGATGTTTGATCAGCTTTTTTTTTCAAATAACAGCATGTTATTAGAAGCAATACTTAAATTGAAGGAGTACTAGGAGTACTTAGTTTAATTACATCCTTCTGTCAGCTAAAAAGCACTGTATCTCAGCATTATCAGAGTACAAATCTCCATTTAATAAATTAATATTGAACTCTTTATTATGAAGAATAATCACCTTAATGCTTTTTTGAGACACTAATATCAATAGTTAACAGGAAGATTAAAAGACGGTTCTCTGGCAACAATGCAAGACTCATGAAATAAAGCATATTTATTCAGAATCATGTGTAAAGTGATGATGTCTTCATTTGTCTCTGTATTTTACTGGCAAAAGAAAAATGCTTGAGTCAAGTTTGAATGTGCATTCTGAGAGCCATCATCCACTAGCATCATTTCATAATGGAAATTACCTGTTTTTTTCCTCTCTGAAACCATGTAATGGTTCTGTGTTTCAGTTATTAATTAAATGTTAAATTTGATTAGCTTCTTATTTGCCATTTTTATTTAAATGTTCTAGAGTGTGCAGTGTTTTCTATACAGACTGTTTGAATGCCTAAGTGCCATAAACTAGGAATAAGGAGGTGCTGCAGTGTGCAACAGCAGGGACAAGCACAAGGTACAGTACAGTACTGTCCGCAGAAGATAATGTGAGTTCATCAATTTAAATTCCACGCAAAATAAAACTTAAGAATTTTTTCAGTATAAAAAATATAAAGTAATATGATACCATCTAGAGCTTGTAGTGTTAACACTTAAAGGCCTAAACACTTGTTCCTTTGCAGCCTACGCATGCTACACATGCTACCTACTTGAACTAGTTAACATCAAGGACCACAAGTTTTGAGTACTAACTGGTCAGTTGTTAGTCCACTAAATGCTACTAAATTTGTATATTGACTCTTCAGGTTTTTGTTTTCATGATGATAATTGTCCCTTAAAATTAGGTGTGTATTAATTGTGTAAAATATTATTATTGGATTATTACTAATTGCATATTTCTGGAAGTGTTTGCAGGTCTCTGGGAGCTGAAGGTAATATTGCAAAGTCAAAAACAAGCTGTGAAAAATGTACAACTCTAAGATACTAGAAGTGCTGAAAAAAGAGTTAATATTATGTGAATATACTGCAAAATGTAGCTCTGCTCAATTTACAGCTAAGTCCCTTTGGAGTACAATAGACAGGGAATGAACATCTGTCGGCCTATTTCTTGTTTTTCATGCAACAAAGGTGAATGTTGATGTACTTTTTTCTTTTGAACACTCTAATAAGGAAGAAATAAACCTTCATAAGATCTAAAATGTCCACAAAGAAAAGATCTGTTTCCTCCTTTCTAGTACCATAGGTCTCCCTGTTGACTCGGCTTTCACTCTGGAGAAGGTAAAAGCTGTGATAAACTAGTTTCATTCTGGACAATTTAAGTTGAATACTTGTAAAGAAAAAGAAAAAAAGCACACAGATCAAGCTTTGATGAGATTAAAAACAGAAACACAGGGTCTTGAGAAACATTCAAAAAGGACTAATTTCTATAATTGAGTAGACCACTCAGCACAAAGTCTTCACCGTTTAAAAAAAATAGAAAACTTAGAACTAGAAAAAATATCTCTTTGGCCTTCAATGCTGTAAAGCAGAGAGAATATTCTTTGTATCAGAAAGTTTAGGAATTAATGTTAAGAGTTAAACTGAATTATTTTTGCGATTGCTATCTCATGCTCTTTGGAGAAGCAATTACTTTTCTGTGTGAGACATAGCTATTACAACACCAGACTGCATTTTGCTAATTTCCTCCTCCTGTGCTGGCACTTTTGCACTAGCCAATTGACGGCATATTCACCCTGGCAACAGCTTTCAGAATTGATTTTTCAGAGACAACTAGATTACGTTTTGGGAATTCAAACAATCAGGTAGAATGTAGGAAAAAGAAAAGAGCTTGTGTCTCTTCAGACAAGATTCAGTGTTGTGCAGACTGAGTGTCATCTCTTGGGGCCTCTTAAATGAAACTGAAATGGTACAGTTCAGGTCCTCTTTAGTGTGAAGGAAATTTGTTTCCAAACACTGCCTCGTTTTTAACATTTTAATGGATATAATAACCAAAGTCTGGAACAAAGAAAAGAGCCCAGCTCCTGCTGATCACCTCATTAGTACCCTATAAACACCGTCCTTCAGGTTTTCTTCTGAAGCACATGTCCCTCAACACCCCAGTGGCAGTGTGCACAGTAACCTTTAACTCATGTTCTCATGTACTCAATGGGCATTCCTCAAGCCAAATGGATTAAAGCCAAAACATCACGGTTTTATTTAATATATGTAGTATACCTATTTAATTTTACTTGCGGGACAGAATTCTCTGTATGCCTGAATCTGGACTGATTTAAAAAGGGTACAACATAAACAGAAAGACTAAACAGGTATAGGGTACTGGAATTTAATTTACGTGTAAGGATTTTTTAAAGTGCATCAGAACATTTTAACATACACAACACAGTTTTCAGTTTTGTCTGGAGTAAGATTTCATTTTTAAACAATTTTTGTAGCACTTCTGTTGAAGTCTGTTGATTTTTAATACAGTGGCTTCAAGTCTTTTGACTTATACTGGAAAAAAGAACCATCTACCTGAAGTTGTGAAATTATTACTTTAATTGTATAGACTGAGTGATGTAATCTTAAAGAAGAATCTATTCATTTTTCCTTCTTTTTACTTTTCCGCTCGGTGGCCAGATCTTCTAGTTTCCTGTCTAGTTTCCTCTGCAGGTAGGCTTTCTTGGCTGGGTCGATGGACCTGTCTTTGTGCCCGCTACCCCCATACAGAATGCCCTCACGGCTGATCCTCATACGAGCGTGTGCCTTTGCTTTGTCACCACATCCATGAACCTGCAAAACAAAAGACAACACCCAATTATGTACAAGTGAATGACTGCTGTAAGCTCCCTCCTTCAGTGTAGGGAATTCAGAAATGAAATTATGTTGGTTTCTACAGAAGATGTAGCAGAACATGAGGCACTTTTTAGCAAAGATTGCTATTTACATATACATAAAAATAAATAATTGTACATACAAATGCAATGCTGTGAAGTCTACACACCCTTTACAGATGAACACAGATTTGACAGACTTTACAGATTTTGTGGCCTAACTGCCTGACATTAAATCAGAATTATTTTATGTTTATTTATGCATTGTAACAC